TTGTCGGCAAGGTGACGTCTCTGCTTTTTAATATGCTATCTACGTTTGCCATAGCTTTCCTTCCAAGGGGCAAGCGTACACATCTTTTAGCACTTTCTGTTTCTCTGGGGTGAGGCACGGTTGGGGTGGTGGTTAAAGGCGCTGGATTAGAAGCTGGGAGACCCACAAAGTCCAGTGCTAATAACCAGACAAGCCTGCTTTGGGCACAAAAGCCATTTGGGTGACTTTGGGTCAGTCCTTCAGCTTTAGGAAGAAGGAGTGGCAAACCCCTTCAGAAAAACATGGCCAGGAAAACTGCCAGGACTTGTCCAGGCAATCACCAGGGGTCTGGATTGACTGGAAGGATCACAACAACATTTCTCTGCGCAATATGCATTGTATCTGCGTAGTTCTCCAGCCCAAGCACATGGGCTATCATATGCTCTGATTACTCATCAAACGCTGGTGACCATTTGTGTCTCTTTTAGCAAACTACTCTCAAAACACAATCCAAGCTAACCAAGGTTAAGAACAATCCGCTTATGTGATGTGAAATACCGATGTTAGGTATTTAACTAAACAGGTTCAGGAAGTTGGACTGGGAGCATTTCACCAATTAGTTACCTCTGACAGAACCCAGCATTCCTTGGGCAAATATGGTCTTCCATTACTGAAAGAATACTAAGGTCTTGCTTTAAAAAGGCAAAGTTAAAATAATTCCTGGCTCTGTTTCCTTTCTTGCCCACCACTAGCATTAAAATATAAAGAAAAGTTTTCACCTGCTGCAGACACGATCGATTGATGTGTTATCCTTGTTGTGATTACTGTACGGCATAGGTACATAAATTTGCAGATGTAACTGTCAACCATTGATCAATAACCTTAACCCTAACCCTAACTCATTGGGTGGTTTAAAAAGCATGAGACAGACAAAATAAGATCGTTAAGTGAAGCGGTCACTACGTGAAACTACAACTGTGCTTATGATCTGACTTCAGCTTTCCTTTGCTTTACAGATCTGTGAAGGTCATAAATGCGAGGATTGGTCATAAAGTTAAATTTTCATCACCATCATAACTGCGAATGGTTGTGTGCAAATGGGATGGATTTGCAGAACACAAGATCCTTAAAGAAAGTAACCAGACTTAAAATAACCAAGCTTTGCATCCTGCACAAAAGCAGCTAGGTCTATAATTGAATAAATCTCATGAGTCTGAACAAAAATAAGTCCTGCAGGGTTTATTGTGTTTATCTAATTCAGTGTTTCTTCAAATGTGTCTGAGGACCGCTGGTCCACGAAATCAAAATTATTCACCAGATATTGGCAAAAATTTAAATCAACATCACTCTTCTCATTATTTTTTTTTTAAAAGGGGGGGGTCATGAAAAATATTTATGTTACTATCGAATGGGTTTCATATTGTTATTTTTACATGATTCAATAAATAAATAAATATTCTGCAAATGCGCCCATTTTCATTTTTAATACAGTAAATATCAATAAATATAACCCATACAAACAAAAACTCTTTTGGGGTCCTCCACATCTTTTAAAAGTGGGGAGGGGTCCTGAGAGCCAAAAGGTTAAACTCTGATCTAATGTAATTTGTTTGGGCTGCATTTAGCTAGATGGCCACTAGGTGGCAGACTGCCCTAAAGCAGGGTTCCTCAACCTCAGTCACTTTAAGATGGGGGGGACTTTTCCACACCCAATTCCCCCCCCCACTTCTTCGGGAGGTGTGTCTCCCCCCTTTAAATTGCGCGGGAGGGGGAGAA